CCCCTGCCTCCTGCACTCATGCAACTGCCTGCCGTTGATCAGAGTCTCGACTAGCAGCGTGATTCGTGTCATCCAGCGTCAGCTCCGACCGCAGTTTCATTAACAACCGTCCAAGGTGGTTGTTTCCTTGGCCATCTCTACCTGAACCCCAGAACCTGTCAGGCGGAGACATCTCCACCAATACCGTACCCATTGTGGACAATAGCATTGTCCGTGGCATTTCATGGGCAGTGAACTTACATTGCAGAGCACTGTACATCACTTCCAGTTTGACAGCCGACCAATTTGGCGGCAGCTGATGATGAAGTTGCCAGTGGAGCCAGGAGGGTAAAATTCCAATTTGCATTCGACGCAGATCGCCACGCCACACAAGATAACAGAATCCACACACAGCGGCGACATCAACGCAATGTCAGTTAACCCGATTCCTCGTACATCAACAGTAAATTCAGTTGCTCATACAATGCCAATAACTCCAATGTTATTAAAGAAAAGTCTTGCCGTGTACATTGTTGCAGTGTCTCATGCTTTTGCAGACGATGAAATCTCGCTCTTCCTCACATCGATGAGGCACGGGTGTCACCGTTCATTTTTTCACAAAGATTGGTCCTTTTGTCGACAACCGAGCAGAACTAAAAAAAAACTCAAAAGGACAACAAGGGATGTTTCCCAAGCAAACTCAAAGGCAACTCAACAGAATGAAGAAAAATGTCAGACAGGATGCTCAGCTTGGTCTCTGAGAGAACCATTCAAGTCACGAAGGCAAGTTTTCGTCAACAATCTGAAGCGCTGACATCACCCGAAGGATAGGAGTCGAGTACTTGTATTTCCATAAAACCCCATACAAAGCCAGCACTCTCCTTCCAACAGTTCTACGATGGGCATATTGATACCGAACCTTATTATTAAACCACCAGTGCATTTGACAGGCAAATTGTTATGACGCAAACGTGCACACACCGCGACTTTCGGGGCTCAGCCTGCCAAATCGAAAAGGCCGTGCACGCCAGCCAGACGAACACAGAAATTTCTGCCTGCGCCCGTTCGACAAAACTCGGCCCACAGCAGAGATCAGCAACTCCGGAAACAGAGGCTCGGTAGGACCGGTGGTTTAATAATACACGTCAACGTACAAACATATTGACAGATTGAATACATGAAGGTCATATGACATCATTCATAAAATGAATAGCTCGTTTGACCGCCGGTTCACCAAAATGAACAAGATCGACCATTGTCATCCCAATTCTCCTATAAGACATAGCAGTGTGGAAAGAGAGAGGCCAATCCAGGAACCTACAAGATCAGGTCGCTGTCTTTCTAGTCTCCGACCAATCCAGCTAGCTTCTTCAGGACTTCCGGCTGACATGATAGCCTGGACTGCAGCGGCTGCCACTGGCTCGGCTGAGTGGCAGAATTTAGCGGCCTGTCAAAATTGTTAATGAGACAATAGCAAAAGGTCACAAACCAAAAATTGTCAGGGATTTAATTGACAAGGATTGCAAAAAACAAAGTCCTCAAGAAAACTCTCTACCCTGTGCCAGAAATAAAACCCAAACCAAACGGTCGGATAGAGGCCAGAGCATTGGCTCTGTGGCATGTAAAATGGAAGTCTACGGCACTGCCAGGTAAGAAGAGAAAAGAATGAGAGCTGGAAACGAACATCACAGGTTTAAAGCTGAGAGCCAATGAAAAGACAAAAAAAAAAGGAAGGTCCATTTGAGCTTCTTTGCATCCTCGTTCTCCTCCTCCTCCTCCTCCTCCTCCTCCTCCTCCCCATACTCTTTCCCTTCTACTACATCAGGATAGATGTGTTTTATATATTAACTAAACACAGGCCCACCAAAAAAGAGATGAAGTTTATTCACCGACTCATCGGAAAAGATGTGTGGTGTGTAGTGTGCGGTGTGTGTTGTCTTGTTCGCTATACCCAAGTCCACAAAAAGAAAAGAATCATGACCGTGACAGACTGTTTCATCAGACTTTCACCGACTCATCAGGAAGTTGAACCCTGGCAGTCTGCCCAGGATGCATTTGACTGATGGATGAGAGCTAACCACGTCGCCCAGAGTTAGCCCGATATCCCTGAGAAAAGTGATGCCATTTACTGTGTCTGTGTCTGTATGTGTGTGTTTTAACTTTTTTAAATAATCACCACAGCGAGTCCAGCTAAACCCATATGCATAGACATCATAATTGCAACAGTTTTACAATGTGATATTTCAAAATGGTTGGACCCCTTGGGGTTCTATAAAAAAACGAATGAAAAAAAATAATAAAAAAAAATGGTTGTGGCGGTTTGGTGGAACAACCGTTTCCCTCCTGTGTTTCGAGTCGTGCAACACTTACCGCGTTTTATGGAGTTGAGTGCATGATGCCTAGACACCCATTTCCCTTCCAGCACACTTGCACCTTCTATTTGTCTGCTCTGTTAGTTATGCTGTGCTCTGTGTGTGTGTGTGTGTGTTTTAAAAAGCATCCCAAATTCTCTCTCTCATTCCCTCCACAAATCACAAAAATCATGTGTGTGTGTGTGTGTGTGTACGCGTTGTCAATGAATCCCAAACTCTTTCCTCATTTCATCGACAAGGTTGGCCATGTTTGTATGTGTGTGCGCATGCATGTGTGTGTATAATTTAGTAGAAGATGGTAAGGGATAACAAGGAAGGTATAGATAGGCAATTTAATAGAAGATGCAAGGTTGGCCATGTGTGTGTGTGTGTGTGTGCGCGCGTGAGAGAGCACATCTAGATGTGTATAAGAGACAGGAATGGGAGAGAGAGAGAGAGAGAGAGAGAGAGAGAGAGAGAGATGAACAGGTGCAGGAAAGGGGGTTTAAAGGGTGAATAAGTGTCTTGGTCAAACCTGATAGTAGTGCTCAACACTCCGCCAAAGAATCTTTTGACCACGTTCATCAGTCATCAAAATTGGATGTGGTGAATAATTGGAGAGTGCTCCGTAAGGATCCCATGGCTTGTAGAACCCGATCACAACTGGCTCAGGATCAGTCCCCACGAACGAACCGTTTCCGTCTCCAACATCCATGCTGCTGCCCATCAGGACACTTGCCTTTGATCGTGGATCCGGAAGGCCCTTCAGGTATCCCGACACAAGCATATCTGGACCAGTCTGGCAAGGCACAACCAACATTGTTCACTCGTTAGTCCATGAGCCCCATATCCAGTAGGCAAAGTGATCGCATGATGAGCCACCTAGTCCCCCAATCTCACAGCATGGCCTTGATTCACAGGGAGTGAGTCACAGTGCATTGGCAGGGATAAAGCATGGATTGGGAAGCACGATTCATCAGCAAGTGGAGCATGGATTGTGAAGCACGATTCATCGGGCCGAGAGAAGCCTGTTAAGCTGGAACTTAACAATGCTGGTAGTTGTACCCCCCCGGCGGGCTGAATGGTACATAACTGTTGGAAAACAGATCRCSAGTTCAAAWAGKMCAAATKTCCGGGGCTATAYCCCCCCCCCCCSCCCCCGCTGCCCCCGCTGCCCCCCCCCCCCATCCCGACAACAACAAAGGACAAGAAAAAGGAATGTTGGCGGTAACATGGGAGCATCAGTGGATCACGAAAGGGTGCAGAAGGGCAGTGGCAGGAAAGATAAACAGGGCAACACTCTCTTAATGAGCCACCATCACTCATGCAGCACAAATAGACTGGCCTGATGAATCCTGGCTAAATTACTCTGAAGAATAATCTGACTCTATTCAGATGCCAGCCAGTCCGCTTTTTTCCCAGACGAAGCAGCTATGACTTTTCACATGAAAGACATATGCAATAAATCGCAGTATCACAGTGGGACTGTACACTAACTGTGTTTGCTGTTCCCTTGGTTTGGGCCTTGCAGGACTCGATCCTGTGACCTGTAATTTGTACGTTTGGTTTGTTAGCTTCGAGCCAGACTGGGCTTGATCCTTCGACCTGTAGCTATTAGTCTGTATTTGGCAGTCTTAGACCCTTAGGCTTTGCTGTTTTGTCGGTTTCTGCAGTTGCTGAAGTCAACCCAGGACTTGATCAGTGTGTGTGTGTGTGTGTTGTGTGACTGTTTTTTAGCCTCATTGGGCTTGAACCTTGAACCTATCGCTAGTAGTCTCTACTTCGTAGTCTTACGCCTTTCAGCCTTGTTGTTTTGTCCTTTTCTGCCCGTCTGGAAACTGGTAGGCCCGTAGGTCTTTCTTTTGTGTGTCCTAGCCTTGGGTCCCCTTAGTCTAGGTTTCAATCTGGATGCATGTAGGTAGATCTTGACTGTTTGGCCGTAGATGTTTGCTGTTTGGACGGCCAGATAGGTCTGTAGGTGGCTGCTGTGTTGTAGGTCTAGAGAAGTCGGGTAGAAGTAGGCAGAGGCCGACGAGTTTGGGGTTCTTTCGGTTATTTTCATAGCTTTTGTTTTCACCGTCTTGGTGGAGGTCGCGTTGCTTCCCTGCTGCACTATTGTGGACATGTATGCAGGACATCTTCTCCACATGTCGCTGGCGGCCATAGCTGGGGCCGACCAGCTCCATTGGTGACAGGGCTGGGCTTGGCGCCCAAGTGCTGATCAGCACTTCCTCATATTCGTGTGCTTGTTGGGGTTTCGTCAGCTGCCACCAAGGCTGTGCACTTTCAGCAGTTCTTCTTCGACGTGGCAGATCTTCATCTTCATCAAGTTGCTGTTCTTCTTCATCATCCTGGGAGCTGCGCTCCCCTGCTGAGTGGACACTTCATCTGTTGTGGGCTTCTTGAGTGGTGCAGAGAGGGGTGTTGGATTTAGGAGGATGTGTGGCGATTCGCAGGCTTGATAGGTTGGGTGCTTGCAAGCACCATAGCTAGAGCTCAAGGAAGACGGAGGAAGCAGAAGACTCCTGGATACTTCGATGAAACCTTGTAAACATACTTGCAAGCGGACGCCGTCCAGGCAGTTCTGCACGTGCGGCGGACTGCCGGACCGGACCCGCGCGGTGCACGAATGTGCGCCCGACAACCAGTTACGCCCCACCCCCCCCCCCCCAAAAAAAAAAAAATGGCCCTGTCCAGTCCGGTCCGGGTCCGTCCGGTCCGGGGGGAGGGTGCCGCACGCGGCAAAGCGGACCGGACCGGACGCTCGTCTAGTCCGTCTGCTTGCAAGCATGCTTGTAAATAATCAGTCCGTGGGTGTTGACAACGTGGTTGGGATCCTTGGAAATTCGTGCTGTTGATTGACTTGGGGGGAGACGGTAATTAGAATTGATTTCCATTTCAATTCTATTTTCGACATTTGTGTGCTTCCGCTGTGTATTCTTATCATCCGGTGCGGTGTGGATTACTCCCTCCGAAGGTCAATTGTCATTGCACATGTGTATGGGAACATGTGGATGCCATGTTGGATCTCGTTTCAATCAGGCACATAACACATATAACAGCCACGTTGTCGCCACTCTGCTGGTGCTCATCTCACACCATATGCACTTCGCCAGAGCGTTTCCTTTGTTTCCCAACTGCATGCTAACTGTTAAGTTCATCCACTACTTCATTCCCCCCCCCCCCTTGCCTCTTGTCGGAGGCCATTCCTCCAGGTTTGTACCCGCTCGCAGTTCCAGTAATAATAATGCACATGAATTTTTATTTTATTTTATTTTTTTTATTTTTTTTTTAAACACGACCTTATGGGCCTGGCTCCTTTTCCATTCTGGGGAGCATCAGTCCGGTTCCTATTCCAACGGCAAGTTATAATGCACATGATTTACCATCCTCTGACCTTCAAATTTTGAGGAAAAGGCTGTTGAAAAAGTTTCCAGGGAGTCTTCTACATACCTGCTCAAACTTCACGTCCTGAAGATTCATGGCTTGTGTCATTTCTACGAAGCCGAGATCGCCAACAGGTGTAGGAGCCCCTGCACCTCCAATTACCTTTGGCGCTACAAATGCCCACACCTGAAAGCAAGCACACGAACACATGGATTTTCTTACCATCAGTCACACAACTACTGTTTTTCCCACGGACACAACACACCCTTATCATGAGTGTGTCAGACCGGAAAATGCGCTTGTATACACTCATTATAAGAGTCCGTTGTGTTTGGCGGAAGATGGTAGCCAGACGAGAAGAGATGGTATCCTCAGTTACAGCAAGACAATCAGCATGACAGCATGGCAAAGATTCACCACGGCACCCCCCCCTTTCTATTCCAAACTGCCAGAAGTCGCAGTGTTCAACCAACAGACAGAAACCAAAGTCCGAGTGTCAGAAGCGATCAGTGCCTCCACAGTCATCCCGGTCAAGACGAAGCTATGGAAACGTCCTCTCTCTATCCCGGTCAAGACGAAGCTATGGAAACGTCCCCTTCCTTCCTCAGAGAGGCAGCTCGCCTGGTCAAAGTGTCTGACAAATCTTTTCAACACCCAACTTGATTGAGTGTGATGTCCCTCATTTCGCCCCTGCTTCCCACCCTGACAGCATGAAATGGGGGTACATAGATGGGTAACGAAGCCACACAAAGCAAGGGGCCAGGAAGCGACTCCTTCCACGAAGCAAAGCATGGAGCTGGTTAGGGAAGGGAGGCAGAACTGAAGTTGACGAGAATACCTTGTGGATAACACCACTAGTGACTGCAGGTGCAGATAGCGTTCCACCACACTCCCACAAGACTTGTAGAAATCCTCGCTTGTAGCAGTGTTCCATAGCTGCTTTGGGAGTTAAGAAGTCGAAGTCAACTACCTCTACACCCTTTGACACCAGAAAAGCCTGTCCGAAGAGTTGCCAGCAACAGGTCAGCATACAACGTTTTTCCCAATATTGTCATGATGGACCCAAATCATTCTGACACCTGACTGAAATCAGAGTCTCCATTCCATTCGTAGGGAGCATCATGGCAGGTTCTTTCTATCTTTTTCTTTGCTTGTTCTTTTTTTTTAAGGCAACATTCGGACTCATCTGCACCCAAATCATTCTGAGACCTGACCGAAATCAGAGTCTCCATTCCATTTGTAGGCAGCATCATGTCAGGGTCCTTCTATCTTTTTCTTTGCTTGTTCTTTTTTTTAAGGCAAGATTCGGACTCATCTGTCTCCTTCACGTCAGGTTCTTGGGAGAACAAGAAAAGGAAAAAGAAAAAAAAAGATCAAAAGCCGCCACGTCATGAGACATAAGTTCAGTGTTTCAGAATGTGAACTGAGTTCTTTGCAGCAATGATATAACCCCACATTTGACTTTTGTTGGATAGAGGAACTCTGTTCTTATAATATACGTTCAGCAGCCTTACTCATCAGTCGTCCTTGACATGGTGTCATCTGCGACGACTGATGCTCAGGACCCTGAACTATGACATGAAACACGACTTCTGTGAAGCAACCAATCTATGCCAGTGTTACAGCTCCCTCTCACAAGATTGCCTGGTATTGTACTTGTTGAAGTATAAAGCGTGCTTCCTCCCTCACCTACTCCCAAACCCTCAACTTCCCTCCTCGCCCCTATCCTTTTCCTCCCATTTCTCCTCTTACCCTTCCTTCTCCTCTTCCTCCCCTTCCTTCTCTTCCTCGACCCCTTCTCTCCCCTCCATCATCACTGCGATGCACACAGGTCTTCCTCTGCACCTTGTGCTGATCATTTTCTCCTCCCCCTCACCTCATTCCCCGTTCCTCCAGCTCTCCCCCCCTCCTCTTCCACGGTAGAGGCTGGTGTTTGGGGCTCCTGCAGTAGGGATCCGCTCACTAGGGTAGTTGTTGATGAAGGGGTTAGGATAAGCAGACGGGTCATTCTCATTTTCCCTCAAAGACTCTGCAAGCGGTATTTTTTAAAATATTTTTAACATGTTATCCTCTCACCCTAACCAATTCACAATTGCAGTTTCCAGGAAGCAAGCACATATGTATGGTGTTTGCAATGCAACAACATCTCCAATCCAACTCGTCAAGACTTTACGGACGGATGGGGTGAAACAGGTCCAGCTGAACAGCTCCGGAAGACGTGCTTTGATAGCCAAGGGTCTAGAAAAAGTTACAAAAACAGACAAATAGGTCTTCTGGGCGATCGCCCTTCGGGACATCCGTTAAAATTGGAACGATACAGAGAAGACTAGCATGGCCCCTGCGCAGGGATGACACGCATAAATCGAGAAATGGTCCAAATTTAAAAAGAAAAAAGGTCTTCTGGGTGATAATGATTATTTGCGTTGATGACTTGTGGTAAGTAATCATTACTCATTTTGAATTTTGACTAAATGTAGTAAATGATACATTGTGACCGACAACATACGACGTATTGGATGCCATTTACCGAAAGATAGATTACGGCTTAGGAATGCCAACTCACAGAAGAAAGCTACGTACAAGATAATGTAGCTAAGCCGCTAAGGTAACATGAGCTTCCTTAGCTGCCGCCAATGGATTCTATTTTGGTAGTATAACCCACCATCCACATTGTGCTTTTGATTTGAAATGGGGAATTGGGGAGGAGGGGGGGGACAAGGAAATTCAGAAATTGAAAAAGAGTGTATCAAAATTTGAAACCCGTCAACAAATCTCGGAAAATGTTTGGCAAACAAAATGTTCTGGGACACCAGATTGGGCCATCCATAGAAAAACGAACAAACAATGCAACATACAGATGGCAAGAAAATGACAGATTTGCTGAATTCACATTGCAATCTCTTTCCGGCTTCATAGTGCGCCTCAACAACTTTGTCGAGGACCGGCTGAGAACACAGCAAAGGGTCACTGTCTGCTTTTTCCGTTTTTAAATTTTTAGTAAATTTTCACCCTTTTTTAAGTTTTTTTCACTTATCTCCAGGGGGGGTATTATCCAAGTATCGGTCTCCAAGCACGATTTGAACTCATGAACTGATTATTACCAGTCCTTTGTATGTCCCTTTCAGCCACAAGGCAAGTAAGGTCCTGCCCCTCGGCGGGCGCAGGGGTTATGAAATTCAATTGAGGCCCCTTTCTCAGTGAGGACCACCTTTCCTACAGATTGGGCATCAATATAATTTTATTATGACCCATGTGCCTTGTCAAATAATGCTCTTTGCCTTCCAAAAATGAGTTTGCTAAACAGAATAGGATATCGATAGCAGCAGCTGATTAGTTCTTTCTAGATACACTGAATGACCCATGCTCTTATTATCATAGGGTTGTTGACATGACAAATCCCCCACCCCCCACCCTTTCCCGGTCCCCAAGTGATGCCTACTAATCCCCATGGGCGCTTACGCATGCAAGATCCAGTCCCGTGAAGCCATGTAAGCCATTAATCCGCAATGTGATCACAGGTGATCGTGCCTGAATGCAGGTGTCATCACAGGAAACTCCACCCCCCACCCTTTCCCAGTCCCCAAGTGACGCCTACTAATCCCCATGGTCGCTTACGCATGCAAGATCCATTCCCGTGAAGCCATGTAAGTCAATAATCCACAATGTGATCACAGATGATGGTGCCTGAATGCAGGTGTCATCACAGGAAACTCAACCGCACAGTCATGGAACAGTAACTGAAGAAATAATGCTTGAAACTACCGTCTTCACCCGAATAGAACGGCCAGTCATTATCGCTGCATCTGGACAGAAAATGGCCCCAAATACGGTTATAATCACCGGGCATTATATTCGGGTGACGACGGTAGCTTTGCATGCAATGCCCCGACACGACCTATCAGACCAAGGGGAAGAATGACATCCTGTGCATCACTTTGTACATGTTTTTAATCTTTTCGCTCGGTAAATTTGTCCTTCAGTAGGGCTTTGCTCTAAAAAACACAAGCAAAGATGAATGTGATCAGTTCAGACACTGAGAAAGATCGAGCACGACTGACAGCAGACCTTGACTCCAATCTCGTCACCTGGAAATCCTCTCGCACTCCTTTCTGTGTCATGACAATGGTGGGCGCTGTTGACACGTCCCACAGATTTGCATCCTGTGGTAACGAAAGCGATCTCGACAGAACAATTCGAACGGGAACATGCCCTCCCTCTTGTCGAGTTGTCAATCTTGGGTCTGCATCAAGCAACGGTTTGCAAGACAGACAGACCTCACTTGTTACGTTTCTTTGCGATTCCGGTTTTGTTCTTCAGAAGCTCAGAGGGACTTAGGTTCAGACAAGTGAATTGGTCATCTGAGAAGAGAAAGAGTGCTTCTTGCCTGCAGAAATAACAATAGAATAGAACATGCGTTAAACGACCCAGTTTTCAATCCCCTGGAATACAAAGATCGAGAGAGACAGATTACGGTGATGTGTTGCAGTGTCAACTAGAGGACACTGGATGCTTGTAATCTGTGGCGTTTCCCCCCCCGAATTCCCACGATCTCGAATTGAAACTAACTGTCTCCTCTCCTGAAGGCTTAGGGCTTTATCAGGCTTTATGTGAGTACCTTCTCTGGGCAATCTTGTGCCACGTGGACTCTCAAAAAAGTAGCAAAAAAAAACAAAACAAAAAAAACTGGCCTAGCTCAGTTGGTACACCCCTGAACTGTTGAAATACGGACCCGAGTTCAAACTCCATTGGAACCAGATGAGTGCAATATCTGAATTAGACTAATTAGTAATTAGTAGAATTACCTAGGGGCGGTCATATCAAGGCCGCCGCCCTTCTTTATTTTTAAGTAGCAAAAAAAATGTATACTTACTTGGACAAAAAATAAAACAAAAGAGTTTGTTATTATTGATGGAGAAAAGATTGGACACTCCTCTTGTACGTATGAACTTTTGCTCTACTATTTTGACAGCAAGACAGCTTATTTAGTCTACTATTTTTACAGCAAAACAGACAGCTTACAAGTCATAAAAAGGCTAAGTGTTAACAAGTTAATAATCACTTAATAACCGAATTAATAATTATTCTTCAGCCTAGCTTTCAAGCCTTGGGCTTGCTATTGACATCGAGCACAAATTCCTGAACCTTCCATCGCTGCTGGCCCATCTGCAGGAATTCTCTTGGAGGAGACCCCTCAAAACAATTTCTTTTGACGCGACAGATAAGGGGAGGAAGACAGGGGGGAAAATGCAAAGAAAAGAAAGTCATCGCATCAACAAGAATCGACATCTATGTAAGATGGAGTCTACACGCATGCTATGTTTTCTCCTAATCGTAGTCAACTGCCAGAACCCATAGTTGCTTTTCAATAAGGATTGGAGTAATGAGCAAAATTTCATGGTGACACATCAGGACCTCTGGGTCACTGACGAGGCTATATACTCACTATCTCTCCGAACTGTGTTGCCTCCCACAATAATTGCATTAGAACGGGCCCTCAACCAAAAGACCCTTCCCCGTGAGGTAGTGCTCGTTATCCATGCCGCATGCCCCTGAGTGGTGGCAATTTTTCCTGCATTCACACCATCGAAAGAAAAACAAAAAAAGGAGGTATAAAAACGTCAGATCACAAAACGGCTCAAATCGTCTCAACAAACAAAGGAGTTCATAAAACTGTGAACTATGGCGATCCTGTCAAACGCAGTGAAGAAGAAGACTGAACTTCCCAATCTTAAGTAACCCTCCCCAAAAATTTTCTTACCAGACACTGTCAGAGGAACAGGTCAGAGGGCATCTTGAACAGCTTGGTTGTTATGTCTCACATTGCTAGCATTATATTCTTTTCACGTAGATGCAACTGATGCATGCATTTGTTCCAATCTTCAAAGCACTGAAGCCGTGTGAGTTGTCTTAGTCCCTCCGCCCTCTGCGATATTGCACTCTTCGTATGTGTTGTTTACATAAAAAAACGCCATGCAAATAAAACATGGTATTGCTTATATTCAATCAACTTTAAACACAATAATTACCATAACAGATTCTTTTGGAGGTACCAAATCTATATCAGACAATATTCCACCATCGCCACACTAGGTCGAACACTCAAATTGAATAGTGGTGCTAAGGTTTTGAAACGTTTGCTCAAACTTCAGAGCTTGCCATGTGATTTGTGATCCTCTCGAGTCGTGATAGGGGACGCTTGCTCCCTGTGTGATTTGCTCCTTCACTTCTTGGGCTGTGTATCTTTGCAAAATAGAAGCTTAGGATGCACTTAGGACTGCTAAACTATTTTAAAGGGCGACAACCTTGAGATATGACCATTGGACTGACTTGCACCAGGGGTAGTTCAGAGTTATTTTCGTTCTGCTCATCTGGTTGCGTCTGCATTCGAACTTGGGTCTGTATTTCAACAGTTCATGGGTGTATCAACTGGGCTAGGCACCGTTGGTGCTTACGACTACTGTCTTCACCCGAATACACCGCCCGGTCATTATAGCTGTATGTGGCGCAGCTTTCAGTCTACATACCGCGATAAGGACCGGTCATTTTATTCGGTTGAAGACAGTAGTGAACTATTTTTGACTAGGTTATATTTTTGTTCAGGCTATTTCAAGCGCATATGGCTGTTGCATTTTGTATCTGTTCCTCCTGATGTGTCTCTTGACTCGATCTCCGCATGTCTCCACTTGCTTTGGAGTAGTACATAAGGACAGATGCTGTTTCCTCTCTGTGCAAATGATCTCCAGTGCACATTTTTATGTGAATGCTCTTTCTTTTCATGTGGTTGAGTATCACAACCCGGAGCTGGTTTCTTGTTGCCGTTTTTGTTTCTTATGTACTCTTTGATGTTTCATAACACACCTTGATTGCTGCCCTGTAATCAATTGGTATGTTTTTCTTTCTTTTTTTACGACTTGATATCTCTCTGAAATAATTTGGAACTGTTGACATTTGATGTACCTCGCAACTGTTGACATCCAATTTGCCATATCGTTCTATAGGTGCTATTTTGGGGTGTCATTGCTTTCTTTGGTGCCTAGGTGATGTCAGTTCTTCCAGGGTAATATTAAAGGATATGCTATGGTCGGGTTCGTTGTGTGTGCTATTGTTGGAGGACACACACACACACACACACACACACACACACACACACACACACACACACACACACACACACACACACACACACAC